CTATTTGCACCACCCGGCCATAAGGTGCGTCCGTGATGAATGCATATTTGCACTACCCATCGCAAAGGGGTTAAGACTTTAAAAATGCTTTTACTTTGGATTTACATGAAGTCGAGAGCAGCGGTAAAGTATCCCAAAACAAGCTAAATATTACAGGACATGGCGAATAGAGGCCGGGAGTTGAGTTTATTTTCTTTCATTTTATGAATAAAAAAATAAATACATTAATAACAAAAGATATATACTTAGACAAATTTTATGTAGACTTTTCACTCGAAATAGCAGTACCCAAGCAAGGTCAATGTGAATCAGGGGAGTAACGGAGAATATTAGAGCATCCCTCCAAAATGAGGTTTTGAGCACCAGGCCAGATCTTACGTTTTGCGTCAGCCAGTCTTTGTACCCCTATAATTCTGCCCCCTCCCAGCGATGCGGGGGTGTACGTTACACCACTGATGTGAATTAAGAGTTATAATCACTTAATTCATCTTCCGATTAACTTTTATCATGTTTTACTGCTATGGAGTGGTTTGAATGTTTCTGTAATTCATTTCAACTGAATCCTAGAGGCATATGTATTGTAAAAAGTTCACAGATCATTAAAAATGTTAATATAATAGTATCTTTTTTTGGTTATACGAATACGGCATTCATAGATATCGATAAACAGCTCTATTTAAAACATTAAACAAAACTTTTAAAATGTTCAGTATTTAATTGTAAAGCGGATGCATAAGGTTATTATAATGTATCAGTGATCGAATATACCATTTAATTAGAGTATCATTTACGAATATTTGTTAAATATTCGACAATATTTTAATTTAGAGAATGAAATTAACATGTCTGACAAAAATAGAATACGATCCTCCCTTTTTTTTAGAATAAAAGTTAAATAAAAAATGCACCATATCAGAAGAATAAGATATAAAGTAAAAAACTGATGAGAGATTATGATGCAAAGTAAAGTAAAGATTGTATTAAAAAATGTGTGAACTTGATACGTAATTGCGTTTTCTGAAGATAAAGTGTTTTCTAAAATTCACGCAAGGCTTAAATTTTGTGCTATATTATGTGGTAAAGTTTTTTTTAACGGGAAAAAGACTACGTGACAGTCGAATGTTCAAGGTTATTAAAAATGAAGCATTACTCAAAAGAACAATGCGTTTTCATTGTTGAGTAATAATTTAAAGCTCCCTGGTCGTGTGATTTCCCGTTTTGGTAAACAGAATTGACTTGGGTTGCGCAAGTTTACCACTTTGGATTCTTTTCTTTGGGTTTTTTTAAGTCTAAGCTTATGCCATGAAGTTCATGAACAACTAAGCCTTGTAGAAGACAAATAAATGCTGTATTGGGGTAATTCAGCCGCATTTTTGCATAATGATCATGGGACATTTCAACAATAAAACGCTCATGTGCCAACCAAACTCGGGGTCTCTTTACCTGATAACACTATTCTACATAGAATCCTATACAGGAGCGGTTCTTAAGCTGTTGTCCGCGGACCCCAGGGTCCTTAGAGCCTTTCTAAGGTATCCGTGAAGGTCTATCTTTTAATGTTAAGATTTCCCTCTTTTATAGACCCTGAAAGGCCTCGTAGAAAAATTGAAATACATTAGAACGTCGTTTATCCGAACGTTTATTATCCGGAGCGTAAAATATCGGGACCAGTTTTTTTTGTCAATTACATGTACTGTATATGAATACGTTTTAGAACAGTGCAATGCTCAACAGTTGTTTCGCGTGAAGCCAAAAGTGACGGCAAAACCCAAGGTCAGGGATAGTTAGGGAATTTCAGTTGTGTGATTTGGATAGATAGGTGTGATTGTGATTTGGTAGATAAACATCTACGGTAAATATTAGGTCAGTTTGTTTACAAGTGATGGGGTGTATCACAGGGAGGAGATTACCGACTTAGTCCAATCGATCGCAGGATTTCAAGAATACGATGGAGAAGATGTAGATACCTGGATGGCATGCGATGCAGAAAACTGTGGATTTCAAATGCTAAATGATGATGAGATTGTGACTTCCGTGCAAGATGAATTCGACCCTGTCGACGATGAAACGGATGAAGACGAGGACAACAACAACAACGAAAGTAGCAAGGATCCATCAAATGCTGACGCGTTTTCTGCGTTAGAGACAGCTATGGAGTGGTACGAACAACAATCAGAGAGTGCTGTCCTATTCAACTACTGCTGATGTAGAGAATCAGAGACCTTGCAGCAAAAAACAAAGGTACAATGGTACAGCGAAAAATAAGTGATTATTTTCCACAATAAAGATAAAATTGCGACATTTTACACCTATTTTGCTTTTTCTTCAAGCACGTTTCTTGCATTTGATTATTCTCAATATTCGTATAGTGTCCAGTTTCATATACTGTATGGATCGCATTCAGTTTTTGGTTATCCGAACAATCGCGTATCCGAACGGTGTCTGGTACCAATTGATTCGGATAAACGACGTTCTACAGTATGTGACTTCCTAAACTGGATCACTAAAATGCCTTCAATGAACCTTTAAATCATTTAGCCATGTGTTGGAAGTCAGAGAGGATTGTTCAAAATCTTAGGGGGCGTGATGTCAGGTTGATAGGTAAAGGGGGCCGTGGCGATAGAAAGTTTAAGAACCGCTCTGCTATACAGTATACTTTATGAATCGACAAAAATTTATAATTTGCTGCTAGAAACCTGTCTTTCCTATACCAAAAATTACTTATTTTAATCGATATCAGCGGTCGCCAACATCTAAAACTTCATGTACCGTTAAATTTATAATTTTATATTTAGCGGACCGCTAATACGAATTTAGAACGAAAAAAAAGGGTAAATGCATTTCCGTAATATTAATCAAGAAAATTCATTTTATTAATATGAAATACACCTATTAAAGTAAAAAATAATTATTTAAATGTAAAAAAAAATCTTAAATTTTATTTTGCCAACTCTTATTTACAAATGTCTCGCTAGATACAACATCAAAAATACCATAAAATCCGGCGTATAACGCGCACTTTGAACACAAACACACACACACAAGCAATATAAAATAATTTTTAAGTCAATTCCTACTTAGATCAACAAATAAAATTTGATTTTAGCTACTTTTTTATTAAATAGTTACAATTAATATAAATATGTATATGCATATGATAGAATCATAACATTAAGTGGTAATTAATTTTTATTAATTATCCTTAAAGTATCGTATTGTCATCCAAAACAATCGTGTATATAAAATTTCAGTTCAACGAAATGCTTTAAAATATGAGAAAAAACCTTTTCAAGTTTTGACACAAGTCGCCAGAAGGGTCGCTAAGTTAACAACGTGGCTGTATTTGTAATACTTTAAATAATTAGTTTTAGTCAATTAATTTTTATTAATTATAGTTAAATTATTGTATTGTCATCCAAAATGATCATGTACATAAAATTTCAGCTCAACTGAGCACTACAAAATGTATTTTATTAACGATTGAAAATTCCACCAAGATAAATAAATAAATAAGTATATAAAGAGTGTGAGCTAATAGTAGGAATTCTGTGTGAAAAATAAGATAGAAACTTACGGGTGCGCGTTATACGCCGTGTATAAAAATGAAGCTCCAAAAATAAAAAAAAAGATGCGCATAAAAAAAAAACTTAGACTTCTACAAAGATCTGGATACTGTTAATTTAAAAGAAATGTCATACCTTATGAAATTAAGGGGCTGTTTTTATAGAAATGTACTAATTTTTTAAAATAGCATACTTCAAATGAATAGCTTTAAAAAATAGCATTGCTAACATACATTGCAGGTTCCTTTGTAAAAAACGAGGCGCGAATGTGTACCTTGTAACTGGCGAATATACCTTAAAATTAAAAAAATGTGGCTTGAAAGTATAAATGCGTGTTATATATACGCCGCATTTTAAGGTAGCTAAAAAGCCGCTAAACTCGGAAAGAAATTCTCTAAAAAATTACTAAGTGATTTTTTTTTAAAAAGTATAACTCAGTGGCGCACACAAGGGGGGTCCTGGGGGTCCGGACCCCCCCCAAAAAAAACCCTTGATTTTTTTTCCGATTGACTATAATTCTAAGTATATAACTACGTAAAATTTAATGATTTGTTATTAATGATTAATTTTATTGATTAATACTAATTATTTATTCAATAATTAGTTTTTTACTGTGTTTTGTTCCCGAAAATCGAAAAAACCAGAAGGAGCATGATACAAGAATGGTGAACTTTCGACCCCCCCTTAAAAATTCCTGTTTGCGCTACAGGTATAACCCATATTCCATAATACGTTCAGTTACTCGTCATTTTTGAAAATGAATCTTCATAAAAATATGAATAATGCCCCATAATGCAAAAAATATAATTATCTAAATAACAATAAATAATACTACTCATGTAAAAATGATACTTCCAAAAAGGATTAAATAATCTAAAGAAATTTGATGTATTCATATTTAAATTTTTTTAAAAAAAGTATTAATACAACATGCAATAATACAAGAGTTTTAATTTTTATTTTTTAATTCCTTTTGATGAATGGTAGGATTTTTCTTCATTAATAAACTAACAAGCAATCACGGAGAGTACTATAAACTGAATACAAAATGTGATACTATTGAAATTATTATTATTCAACGTGAGTTTTATTACATCCTAAATTTCGAAAGAAATATACGTACTAAACACTTATAATATTTGCTGGTGTGTCATTTTGGTATCTAATTTTTCAATTCCTAGTATTAGTTCACTCTCTCACCCTATATATATATATATATAAATACACATCTTGTCCGTAAATTTTCAGACATTAATAAAATACTTTCTGTTCATCCGTTCAAGTTCAAATACATTTTTTAAAACTTGTAGTGGATGACACTTCATGTTAATACAAGTTTTCAAATATTAATTCATTAATTTAATTAAAAATGAATAAATAGTAGTAAACAAAAATAATTGTCTAAAATCATATGTAAAAAGGAAAATCGTTCGTTGTGTCCCTGAAGCGTAATGGATAGCGCGGTGGACTTCTAATTCGAAGGTCGTGGGTTCGATTTCCACCTGGGATGGCCTAATTTGTGAGACTATGAATTCTTTTTTACTACATTATTTCATTAGAATAATTAAATTTAATTAATGAATAAATATTAACAAACAAACAAAATTAGTCCAACACCCTACATAGAAACCAAAATAGAAAATTTCTAGGAAAATCACTTTTTTTTGTCACTTAATATTGTGATTCGGTCATATGTATATACATATTTATATATTAATTGTAACCATTTAATAAAAAAAGTAACTAAAATAAAATTTTTCTTTATTGACCTAAGTAGGAATTGATTTAATTTATTTTTTTTATACTACTTGTTTCCAGTAAAATCATATTTTTTACAAATATAGTTATGCTACAAATGTACGTACATCTTTTTATAATTTTTTGTCGTATTGACACTTTTTTAAATAAAATTAAAAAACATTGTACATTTGCTCTTTTAAAACAAATCGGTTTCCAACGTATTTCGGATGCTTTGTTTCTAAAAAGTAAATATTTCCGGACCAAAAATTTCGGCTCTGAATTAGTTTTCGAAGTAATACACTGCGTTCTTTGCCGCAATTATTTTAATAAATGAAACCGAAAAAAGAGGCATCAGCTAATTAAAATACTTTTTAAATAATTCTTAAATCCAAGAACAAAATTGCATTTTCTTTCTTATTTGTACAAGCTTAAAGCGTAAAAAAGATGATGACGTCATCTTTAGCAAACAGCTTGTTTAATGAAATTCTGCCTATGATAAAGAGAAAAGTTACTGTTTTCAACTTCCGTAAAGAAGTAAATTAAAAGAACTTGCTTTTTTTTTTTTTTATCTTGATGTGTGTTCAGCTTCGCAAATGAATTGAAGAGTTGCAGTTCATTATATCTTATTTACTTTCACTTTCGATTTTGACTTAAAGTTATTTCGGTATGAGAGAAATTTTGGCGAGATTAGGCTTCAGAAAAAGGCCGGCAGAATAAATATTCGCTTAAGCAGATTCTGAGAAAGTAAATAATCTCTTTGAAAGTAAACAAACATGAATCAGCGAAATGAAATAGATTCCTTTGCCGTTTTTTTTAAGTGTGTGCAGTACTTTTAGTTGAGATATTTTTTTCTGGAACAAAATTTATCCGGAAATAATTTTAGTTCCTGATAGCTGTTTTAATTTTGCTGATTATTGACAATTAATGTAAAAAGTACACCACGGCTGAAGAATAAAATGAAGACAGGACGTCTTTGTATATATATTTTTAAATATAGCTGTTAAATACATAAGCAGGTATTTGAGTTTTGTCTTACACTGATATATTATGTTAGCATTGTAAAGTTTTAGTTTATAATTTATTAACACAATTAAAATTTGTCTAGAGTTTTAATCTTTTGCACAATTTTTGATTATAGAATTTATTTATAGAGCTTAATGACACATATTGAATCAAAATTATGAAAAACTTTTTTAATTGAAATGCACGAATTCTGCTTTCTCCATTATTTAACGGTTAATTTGTCTTTTAAAATTTAAAAACAAGTTGCTATCGTCTTTTTTAGGAAGGAGAGAAATATTAAGAAAACCTTTACTTAAGTATTTTTTTCAACAAAAATAAAAATATTCTTTGGAATTATTTTTTTTAAAGAAATGATATAATATCGTCATATACATATATATCTTCATATGCAAGATATAAAGAAATATATCAGTTCCTTAAGTGAAATCTGACAGTTATGATCCATAATTGGTAAACATACTGGTATTCAAAATTAAGAAAACTTTTAGATTTAGTCGATTATCTGTAGAACTAATGGACAGATTTTAATGACATTTGGTAAATATATAGGGCTGATATAAATAAAAAAAATGGCCATTCAACTGTTAAAATACACACGCATAATCATGTGTACTACTCATCCAAGTCCGAAGGTATGAAACAGCAGTTGCAGAATAAAACAAAACAATTTGGTTAATAAGGGAGCATGGTCTCCTCTTTCAGATAAACGGGCCTCAAACCGTGATTTTATACCTGAAATAAGGGAATTTATGATTTCCTGTGGCAATGAATCTCACTGGTTAAGTAACTTTATTTTTAGACCTTGGTTCTTGGAGGGTGGGGAGAGGTTGTGAGTTGCATTTGCCCCCTCCCCCAAGATCATCCCACGACAGGCTCTGTAGAGATGAGGTCTGGAGATCTAACTGGCCAATCCATTCGGCGAATATCCTCACTTTTCCAGAAATTCTTTCACCCGGTGAACTGTATGTGTCATCCATTAAAATAAAATCAGGGGCAACTTTACCCGTGAAAAGGTGAAAATTTGACTTCAAGACCTTATCCGTATACCTCACAGCAGTTACAGTGCCTCTCGCATAGTCATAGCAGCCGACCAACGTGACGCCTGTCCAGACTATCAATCCTTTGCTATCGTAATGGTCGATTTCTCGGACATTGCTGGACAGGTAGTGGGTCAGTGGTCTCTCCGGGTTTGATGGTCTGTGTATGGCCGCACACACTGCTTTGTCTTTGCAAGAGGCACTGTGAGTGCTGCGAGGTACAAGGATGAGATCTTGAAACCAAATGTTCACCTTTTCACCGGTGCAGTTAGTTCTGACTTTATTTCAATGGATGACAACGCGAGACACGTAGAGTTCATCTGGTCGAAGAATTTCTGGAAAGTGAGGATATTTACCGATTGGGTTAGCGAGTTAGATCTCCATACCCCATCCCTATTGAGCATGCCTGGGATGCTCTTGGAAGGGCAGTTGCAACTCACATCCCCTCTCCGAGAACCAAGGTCTGAAAATAAAATCGATGAATGAGTGGGATTAATTGCAACAGGAAATCATAAATTCCCCTACATCCAGCGTAAAATCACTGTGTGAGGCCTGAATATCTAAAAGAGGAGACCATACCCCTTATTAATCAAGGTTATTTTCTATTCTGCAATTGCTATTTCATGCCTTCCAACTCCAATGAATGTTACGTACGAGCATTCTTGTGTATTTTTAACTGTTGAATGATTATTTGTTTCATTATATCAGCCCTATATACATACCAAATTTTAATAAAATATGTTCAATTGTTCTAGAGATAATTGAGAAAATAAAAAAATTCTCTTAATCTTGAACACCAGTGGGTATAGTTGAAAAAGTTGAATGCAGTTTTAACTTTAAGGTATCCGAACACGTTCGGAGTACTTTTTGACAAAATAACATATTTAAACATTATAAAGGCTTTTTTAGGGCTCAATACCAATAAATACTAATATTTAACCAACAATATTTAAAATAAATTGCCTAAATTTCACAAAAATCACAATTACAAGTGAAATTTTAGCAATATTTTTGTAAAACTTCAAAGCAATTAGAGCAAAAAGTAATAAAGGTATATTAGTAAAAGTATTACCGAAACACTCTAGATGCATTTATCTAGAGAATGTACTAAAATTTTAATGTTTTATTAAAATTTTAAAATTTTAGAGCTGATTGAGTAAACATTTTGAGAAAAATCACATTCTTTATGAGACCATTATTTAAATAAAAAGCCCTAACTCAAAAAATATTCACACAATAAGAAATATTTTAGTACATTCTCTAGAAAATAACATAAATATCAGGTTCAAAAAGTTTAATAGAAATACAATTGTAATACTTTAAGTAATCAGATTAGCCATGATAGATTTCGAACAATTTAAATGCCCACTTCTGGTAGATCAAAGACCCACTTCCGGTTTTTCTTTGGAAAGCCAAAAGATAGCTCTATTCAATAAAATAGAAAACAGAAATACCTGCCTTGACCGAATTCGGTCATTTTCAACGTGTTCGGATACCTTAAATGTCTTTGATTTTGGCTCGATTTAAATGAAGTTAGAGTCACATGACGAACAAAATCACTCTTCCAGGCAATATAGGTCCATGCATTTCATTGATAACAGCTTTTAATTTTGCAGAAAACTGCCATTTAAAACCAAGGTGTTTAAAGTGCGGTAAAAAGCACACGACTAAACAGTGCTCTTCGATTAAGAAGAGGCAGGAAAATCCATTTTGTATTAAATGTCAGGATTATGGCCATTCGGCCTGCTTTACAAAATGCCCGAAATTCCCCCGACCTAAAAAGGGTTCACCCTTACCTGAGATTAAAAAATCAACAGCAAAGTTTGTAAGGACGGAGTTTCCTTCGCTAATGTTGTTAGTAGAGTTACCTCCCCCCCTCCACTCCACTTAAAAATGAAATAGCAAAACCAATTGAAAATAATAATTCTAGCAAGGAAATCCACGGAATCCAAATACATGAAAATTCTTCTGACCTATCTCAAGTGATTGAACTAGTAAGTTTAATTTCTAAGATATTGAAAAGATCTCCAGAAATATTGCAAATTATTACAAAACTTAAAAGTGCTGAAGATGATAATACCAAAACCTATATCTTCTTGTCGAAATTATGCTTGATAAGAAATAATTGTAGATTCTGTTATTAGATATTTCTAAATTTTTCTAAATTTTCTTTAAATTAATTTTTCATACCATTGACTCCTCTTTCTTAAGTTTTTTTATTCTCCATTTTATCTTTGTTATCTTCCAAATTCTGTGTCTACTTTCTGATTTCGTTTCTCAAAAGAAAGGACGAATTAGAGAAGAGCACAGATTTCTGCCATCTTCTACGGGGATGGTGCCTCATTAAATATGTTCCATACTTGCCAATTGAATTATTTCTCGCTCTCTCACCGGTAGTATGTCCTCAGCTACAGGTGAGAAGCTTTCTTTTAGAACGGCTCTGAGCTGTTGTTAATAATTTTGATAGCATCTTTTAAAATTTATGGAACTGTCAATTAATTATTCTCTTTTTTCTTATTAATTATGATGAGAGGGTAATACCGTTTTTTTGGTAAGGTGTCTCGTATTTTGATGCCGTGGGTAGCAGAAATACAATTTCAGATAGAGGATGGAGGGATAGTCGTATCCCATTTCCTTAACCAATATAACATCTGTAGCCTTTAATTTTTACAGACTTATTTAAATGTACGTATTTGTCCCGTGATTAATC